ACTGGTGGGTGGCCCTGTGCAGCCTCAATCCTGGAAGTGGATTCCCACCAAAGAGGTTCTGATTATCCATGGCTCCCGAGTTCCTCCCGGGATTGAGTCTTTTCCCGCCACCTCCCGGTAAAGAGGACACACCTTGTTGCTTCAGCCCTGTGAGAGACACTGCATTTGGGTAATCACAATTCAGTGTCTGTACCCTGCAGGGACTTTCTGTCCCAAAGGTATCATAGGTCAGCTCGAAAGCTTATCCTACTCATGAATATCTATTACTATTCACCCAAAAGCCAAGGTCTGGTATTAGGATTATATGCAATTAATTCTGCCTCTGCTGTGAGCCCCGTGGATGACTAGCCCTTTCTCCCTGCCCACATTTCCCTTTTCAATTATGCATCTTCGGGCCTTAAATACCCTCTTCTGGTATTTATCTCTGGGTTCATGATAAAGCAGCTCTTGATTTTAAAGTCCTTATTTTGCCAAGTGGAGACATTACTGCTATAAACATTTACCCAGTTGGAGCACTGTGTAAAGCTGGGTGAGTGGGTGCTACGTGTTCACAGGGGCCAAGTCTGTAATGGAGATAATGAACACATAGAGCCACAGGGTGACTGAAGGTCGTCCAAAAGTATTTAAAACAGCACAGGGATAAATTAGGAGGCTGGGATTAACATATACACGCTACTATATATAAAATAGATAATCAGCAAGGACCTACTGTGTAGCACAAGGAACTCTACTCAATACTCTGTAATGACCTAAATGGGAAAAGGATCTGAAAAATAATGGGTACATGTATACGTATAACTGAACCACTTTGCTGTACATCTGAAACTAACACAACACTGTAAATCAACTATACCCCAATATAAAATAAAAATTACATTAAAAAATTTTTAAATAAAATTCACTATAAATTTTTAAAAAAGAAAGAAACGGCACCTGGGACAGCGTGAACGGTCCGCGAATGTCACTGCTGTCCTTGTCATTATTACTTTATTGCCCTCAACTGTTGGCGGAGCCTGTCCGCCAGGGCTTCGGGTCTAGCACACGCCCCCCAGGCTGCCCAAGTGAAGCTCTGGGCCCTGCCCAGCCCAGAGCTGCTCCATTTTTCCCGTTTCACTCATCAGGCAGCTCGATGATATTATGCCTAAAGGGAGGGTTCTGATGCTCATGCAAAGTGCAGAAGCCAGGGCTCTGGAAAGTCCACTAAAGCCAGCCAGATCTCCCTTGTCTTTCCAACTCAGAACTCTCCCTGCCAACACGCTCACGACTCGCAGGATCAAGCAAAGGTTGGGGGAGCCATCCTGCATCAAGGCGGAAATACCAGGAACCTGTGGCCTCCATTGGTTTCTTTTCAAACGCCCTTCTTTTGAAACGGAACTGGCAGAACCCCAAATTACTCATTTACAAGGCACCCCCCCCATGTTGCTACAAACTCAAATATGCTTTAACTTTGAAGTTGAACTTTAAGCAATCTTTCTGAAAGCACACAGAAAAAAATTGTCTTTTTATATTTAACCTAACAAACCAAATATATTTTAATACCCACCATAATCAAACAAAAAGAAGAAGAAAACAAAAAAACGAACCACTTTGCACCAAGAAACATCGTGTGGTCCATAAATAGTTGTCTTCTGGTTAAAGCATCTGCCCAGTTAACGATGGGCTGGTGGGCTTCAAAAGCACTGGGAACTAGGCTTCCCTGGTGGCGCAGTGGTTGAGAGTCCGCCTGCCGATGCAGGGGACACGGGTTTGCGCCCCGGTCCGGAAAGATCCCACATGCCGTGGAGCGGCTGGGCCCGTGAGCCATGGCCGCTGAGCCTGCGCGTCCAGAGACTGTGCTCCGCAACGGGAGAGGCCACAACGGTGAGAGGCCCAAGTACTGCAAAAAAAAAAGCACTGGGAACAGACACTTCAAGAGAACAGAACTTTGAGTGGCTCAGAAAGCATTCTTAGAGTTTGTACTGTTCGGCTAAAGTGATAAAAGAAGTTTCAATAGGAACAGTGTAGGGTCAGAATGGTCTATTAGCATCAGCATGCCATGCATCCAACACCCCCTCCCCTTGTGCTGTGCTTGACTACGTGTGACACAAAAATCCCAGTCCTGCAGAATCAAAAGTCATGATTCCCTTTAAAATCTTTACTTTTTTGAACAAGCTCCCCTCCCGCCTGACTGCGGGAAATCCAGTTCCGTCCCAGAAGGTTCCAGAGGGCTCCCACACGGAAACTCTGGTCTGCTTGCTCCCAACGGACTCCCTCTGGGGCATCCCTGAACCTCTTCTCCCTGTAGCTGCAGCCCTCTCGGGTGCTAAAAGCCGTGCACACTAGCCCCTTCCTTTATGCCCCCCACACACAGCGAGCAGGTGGCTTGCGGCTAACAGAAGGTGATTATAAGCATAAGACAAAAACATAAAACTAGGAACTGGGGAGCAGCTCATCCCTACTCCCGGTGTCACTAGGGGGTCCCCTCTGTCTGGTTCTCTCCTCAGCCTCTGGCCTGCTGCCCCAGAGATGGGGTTCATTCCCCACGTGTCAGTTGGCACATCTGACTGGTATATTTTCCCCTCGTTATCTCCCACTCCTGGCCAGCAACACCAGATCCCTCTGTCATCACAATAATCTCTGCAGAGGTTATTCAGGGTTTCCCGAAGTCCATCTTTCCATCCTTAAGCAAAACAACTGGGTTGTACGTAGCACCTGCCGGGCCATGTGTCACTTAGACTGGGCCTCCCTAATTAAGGAACACAGAACGTTTCTGTTCTCTGTTCCCTGTGATATGCCAAGCGAACCAATGCCACCACTGTCCCCACTCACCCATGCCCCCAAAGCAAAAAGGAATAAACACTAAAAAAAATAAGAACACAAACAAGAGACCAGTATTTAACATCCCAGAAACATTTGCATTCAGATGACTTTCCCTTGGAATCTCCCCTCCAACAGTGGGTATGTGCCTTATATCTACAAGACCAAATAGGCTCACCAAGGGGTCCCACTCAAAGCAGAATTGTTTTTACCCTAGAATGCAGGAACTGCTACAGGTTTTTTAGTAACACTTCAGGAAACGCTCCCCTCTTCATCTGAAAAATACGGTGTGTGCATCCCAGAGCTCATGACTTTATGGACAGCTCGGGAGCAGGGGAGACCACTGGCCAGCAGGTAGTCTCCACCTCATGCTCCACTGTGTCTTGCATCCCCCCAACCATCTCAGAACTGCTCACTGCCAGCCCTGACCAGCGCTCATGGGTTCAGGCAGAGGTGGGCGGAGCCAGGGCTTGGCACATGGCAGACACTCCAAAATATCTGTTGGATGGATGAGTGAACATAAGCCCTGAAATGCTCCTAAGGGTCTCTGCCTCACTGGGTACAAACCAGAAAGGACCCAGGGAAGTGTCTTTCTGTCCCAAACATAATAAGCAAAAGACAGATGAGTGCTGTATTTCGAAGTTACTACGTACGCCCTGGCATGGGGGAGTTGTTGGTCTGTTAACCAAACAACACCTGGTCCCCTTGATTAATGATTAATATGGTCTATGAGTTCAAAGTGATCTTCAGATCAAAAGGTTTACTAACCCATGACTGAGTTAATTCAAAGCTAAAATTTATAAAGTATAAATTCCCGGCACTTGGGTTCTCCTCCAAAGGAAGATTCCAACCTAGACCGTATCATGAATAAAGAGACTGATGGAGGGGTATTGGGAACTCCAGTGATCTTGTGGGGTGGGGAGGAGGTGATTACGGGAACTAGGGACAATGGCTTTATCCTAGTCGTGATTCACAGAAATGGGGGCGAGCTCCACCTACCAGCACCTGTAACTGCTGTGCAAAGCAGAGAGAGGGGCCGCTCGGGACAAGCAGAGGGAAGACAATCAAAGAGACACACCCAGACTCCAGCATCTAGGAGACAGAGAGAGGCAGTCAAGCTCGGATTGCTAAGAACAGAACAGAGAGGGGGAAACTGAAGAGTTTCCCTGCAGGTCTGTTTCCTCCGAACAGGAGAAAGACTCTAGAAGATCCTAACAGATCTTACGTGAGATGCTCGGGGGTTCCATCCTGCTCTCTTCACGTTCCTCATGTTTCCCCAGGGCATTTCGAGAGCCCTTCTCTGGCTTTCTGGGGTGGCTTCAGCTCTCAGCCGGCACTAACGATCTCCAGCCATCATCTTAGATCTTCCATCATGTCCACATTGTTCAAAGCACAAAAACCACTCCTTTCTCTCCCTCATTCACACTGAAGTCCATTAATTAAATTCTTTTAAGTATTCCTCTGAAATCGGTGAAGATAGAAATTTCTAATTTTCTGGTGCTTATGAGGCAGAAAAGCAAAATAAATGCTCTCGTTGATTAAACTTTAAGTTGGGAGGTTTTTTAGACAATAAAGAATAAAGCTATGGATAAACAACAAGGTCCTACTGTATAGCAACGGGAACCATATTCAATATCCTGTGATAAACCGTAATGAAAAGAATCTGAAAAAGGACGTATGTGTGTGTGTATAAGAGTCACTTTGCTGTACAGCAGTATTTAACACAACATTGTAACTCAACGTTACTTCAATTAAACAAAAATAAAAGTCATGTATAATTTTTTTTTTTTTTTTTTTTTTTTTGTTTTTGTGTGGGTCTTTCTCCGCTGTTGTCTCTTCCGCCGCGGAGCACAGGCTCCGGACGCGCAGGCTCAGCGGCCATGGCTCACGGGCCCAGCCGCTCCGCAGCATGTGGGATCTTCCCGGACCAGGGCACGAACCCACGTCCCCTGCATCGGCAGGCGGACTCTCAACCACTGCGCCACCAGGGAAGCCCCATGTATAATTTTTAAAAGAAAATATTTCTTGGGAAAGGTGTTCCTAGATGAAGGCACAGGTGGCCCTGAGCAGCAAGTTACAGGTTTCCTAAAAGGCCTCCTCCACTGAATCGCACTGTGGGTCTGAAAGGGCAATAAAACGACCTTCTGAAAAGAATTCTTCATTCCTGGGAACGCTCGGCAGAGATTTCCAGGATGTTTCAAGCGCCACAGACTAGGTTCAGCCTAAAAAGCAAGTAAGGCTCCTTCCTACAAAGAGAGTAAGATGAAGTATGTGAAATGCCTAGCACAGTGCCTGGCACCTAATAGATGCAGAATAAATATTAGGTTCCTCCCACCCTGAGGGTCCAGGGGTCGATGAGCACATATATTGGATGTATTTCTGGCGGGGTAATTGGGTACATTCTAGATTCTTCCAGAAACTCACAATTTTCTCACACGGGGCGGTGGGGAGAGCGAGGCAGGGGAGGGAAGGAGGCACGTTCTCTCTGCCGACGTCAGTAGCTCTTCCTCTTCTTCAGAGGCTTCAGGCCATTGCTGCTTTGGGCCGTAGGCTGTCCACCACGGCTGAAGGCACCGCCCCTGCAGCCTTGGCTCCCTCCGTCAGCATGTGCTCTACCTGCAAAGCAGACCAGTTCATAGGACCCTCCGTGAGACTCCTAGGCTCGCACCCTGCCCCACCCCTACCTCACCACACCCCATCAGGAGCTGGCCTGCCTAAGAAGCAGTCACCTTCGATTCCCAAAGACCCTAGAGCTGCAAGAGACCTGGAGAAGCCAGGACGGCCTGAGGTGCACATCAGAGGCAGAAGCAAGCCCTTTCCCCAGGAGGCATCCAGGGCCCCTGGTCCCCTTCCTCTCCCCGAGAGCCATTCAGCCCACGGTCTGCCACTAGCACGGGGCTCAGAGGAGCACAGCCACTGAGTCCCTCATTCTACACACAGGGAACCTGAGAGCCAGGGAGGGGAGCTCACTTGGACAAAGTGACACAGTGAACGGCATCCGCACTTAGATCTGGGCTTGGGTCTCATGCACGCCAGGCCCAGGCTCCTTAGCAGGACCTCCTATAACCCCCTTGCGCCCTGGGGTCTTCTTTCCATGCACAGATGCTCAGGAGGCAGGAGATCCCTCATACCAGAGCCCACCAGGCCCGAGCACTAGTACAAGGTCTCACAAGCATGGAATGGCTGGGAGAAGAGGCAAAGCAGGAAGGAGGAAGATGCAGAGTGGAGGGGGTTGAGTGGGCGGGGCTGCTAACCCTCACTGAGAAACAGGAGAGGGACGGACCAGCACTGGGATTCGAGCCCCGTAAGTCAAGAGAACACAGGTAACATAGAAAAGAAAATGGGAAAATTATGTTCCACCTTTCAATCTTGATCTTTCTAATCTATTAAAAAGGCAACAGTACACACTTCCTCCTCTCATCTCATGGGGTTTTAGTAAGGTCCAAATAGTAACAAGAGCAGCTCAAATTGTCACAGGTATTTAGGTTTCCAAAGCTTTTTCACATGTAGCGTACCACATTTAATTTATCACCATCCTATATGTGGGGGAAGCGGAGTGGGGGAAGGAGGCCCGACCCAAATGCGCACAAGCCAGGCAGGGAATGTGGGTGAAGCTGGTAGGTGACATACCGATGCCCCACACCCCTTCTAAAGGGGGAGCTCCTACTCGGCCCCGTAGAGTGTTAGCAAGCTGGAACGAGGGCCCAGTGGCCTGATCAATAGGTTGTCCAAGAGAGGCTGGGAATCCAGATCTTTTTTTTTTTGCGGTACGCGGGCCTCTCACCATTGTGGCCTCTCCCCTTGTGGAACACAGGCTCCGACACGGAGGCTCAGCGGCCATGGCTCACGGGCCCAGCCGCTCCGCGGCATGTGGGATCTTCCCGGACCGGGGCACGAACCCGTGTCCCCTGCATCAGCAGGTGGACTCTCAACCACTGCGCCACCAGGGAAGCCCCAGATCTTTTTATATAAAATTTCTATATTCTCAAATGTTTGCAAGTCATTCAAATTAAGAAAAAAAAAATACTAGTCGTCCAAGCTAAACACATCTGTGGGCCAGGTGTGGCCCGTGGGCTGCTAGTTTGCAACTTTACCTCTGAGTATCTACCGCAGTTTTTCCCCTTTTTGTAAAGGAAGAAAACAGTTTCAGAAATAAGATGATTTGGCCGAGGACACCATGACAGTTTAAGTGGCTGAGGAGGGATTCCACCTGGTGGTCTTACTATGCAGCCCAGTGCCCCCTCTACTCCTCCATGGGTCAGTAGAGGTGAAAACACCTCCTGAGCCGTCCTGGAGCAACGGAAGGCCCCACAAGCCCAATAAATAATAATGAAATCACCGATCACCAGTTGGACCCCTGATGCAGCAACAAGCCCCAAGACCCCGGGTCAGAGCCGGGCGGGGGCAGGGGGTGCCACACCTGCTGGCTCCTGGGCACGCCGTATCTCAGGTCGTTGACAAAGCGCTTGCAGTTCCCGTCGATCAGGCTGTACTGCGCGATCTTGCTGGTCGTCTTTTTCGTCTGCTGGATGACCTTGTCCATGGGCAGGGGCAGGTATGTCCCATCCAGCTCGTTGTTGACCTTCCAGGAGCAGCCATGCAGCACGTCCTCCAGACAACTGTATTTCACCACCGCCCGGTTGCTGAAGACGGACGTGATGCTGCTGGCCTCAAATTCCTCACCTAGAGGCCAAAGACAAGCCAAAGTTGGAAGCTGCAAGGGGGCAGTGGGTCAGAGCACCGGCTCAGTCCAGCCGCTGGATCAGTGGCTCCTCTTGGGGTCCTGGTTTCACCGTCTCTAAAAGGCACAGCAGAGGATGGCAAGTTGGACTAAATGAACTGCAAAGGGCTAGCTTTCCGCACTCCCCACTTTCAACCACCACTGCAATCTCTTTCTCATCAAGCTCCAGGCGTACCTTATGGTGTAGGCCCAGACTCCACTCCGTGTACAGACCTGACCAAGTCCTAGGACTGGAGTCTTGCTTTCCTAACCAGACTCCAGCAATCTTCACAAACACGTGACGAATACCCTTACAGGTAAGAGTCAGCTCCTGGACAAGGGGCTGTCATGCGGTTCCAGGAATAGGCCTCCCTCTGCCACCATGCAGACCCGCTCCAACCCGCTTCCACCCAGAGGCACTCTGCCTTTCCCTCTGCTCAAGTATCAGGATTCTCACTGAGTGTTTGTTTGAAAACAGGGTTCCACAGCTTGGAAAAGCAGAAACGTCTGAAAACTGCTGTATTACCATATTTAGTCCTTAGAGGAGGGAGAGCTCCTGAGAAGGTCTGGAAGCTGCCCAAGGCCAGGTGGGTGGTAATTTAATATCAGGACTGTTTTTCTGCTACAACCATATGGATAGGCAAACGTGGGAACCCTCCCCCTCTGTAAGTTGTCTGAGTGCAAGAAATGTCCCTTGTTCCTTTCTGAAGTATTTGAGGACGATCTGCTGATTTTGCAAAAGCTGGCAGTAGGCAATTCGGCTCTCAGGAACGAAGATGGCAGAATTCATGTTTGAAGGAAGATCTGATGGGGGGCGGTAGTGACAAAACTGTTAACTTGTACAACTCTTTGGTTACGCAAGAGGAAGGCTCCTGGACTTAGTCTGGAAAGGAGAGGTGAAGATGAATGCAACGTGGAGCAATTTTTCATCCTTCGTGTAGGCATCCAGACAGGAAGGGGGACGGGTGTGGGTGGATGGGATGGGGAAGCAAAGCGAGGGGAGAGGGACTCTGCTCTGCAGGAAGGTCTCAGCCAGGTGAGGGGCGGGGCCAACCGAGGGGGACAGGAGACAAGGATGAGAGCTGTGAACAAGGTGCGGCCACAGGCATTTGGTACCAGTGCCCTTCTGTAATCTAATCTTGAACGGGCAGTACTTGCACAGGAGGCAAAATCCCCAAAGCATCAAAGATTACACAGAGGAGCCCCCGCCTCCCCTTCTCCCAGCTCCCCCATCTCCTGAGGCCACCATGTGACCAATGGTTCTGGACGTCCAGTTTTAAGCTGTTTCACATTCTGTGCTGTCATCTTCCACTATCACCACTTCTGCCCCCATCGAATCTCCACCAAAATTTAACTAGTCACCTGTTTAATCTCAGCCCTGTGTTAATGCTGCAATGAAAGGAGAACGATGCCCACACTGGGGGTGGTGCAGCCTGGGACGGGTTGGAAAAGCAGGGAGACAAGGTGAGGATGGAGGTGCCAGAGGTGACCAGGAAGCCAGATGGATGCAGCATTTGGGGCAATAGGAAGCAAGTGACAATCAGAACGCATAAGCATCTACACCCCTCCCAGGGGACCCTCAGAAATAGAGGAAGGGTATTGAACTGCTGTCATTACAAAATGGAGGCTCCGGTTCTTACGCTCCTATTTTAAAAGAAAGAGTGGTCTAGGTGGTCAGGGAACTTAGGAATGATCTTGATACTTTTATCTGTCTTAGGGCTGGACACTCAGTGGTTTTTGGTGGACAGAAACCAAGCTCTATCACACAGTAAATTAAGGTCCAGTCATGCTTTGGGTGTTCTGTTGCTAAAGTAAGGCAGCAGCTGAGGAACCAGTAATTCGCTGTCCTTCTCTTTACTTTGCTAACTTCAATATCAATATTTCAATAGAGTATTCACTCTGACTTGTGGGAGCAGGTGGACCACACAGTCATCTTCCACATAGACGGCCCAGTGCTCGTAGCCAACCCGGAAAATCTCAATCAGGTCTCAGGTCTGGGTCTTGGTTTACCCTATGATGGAAATGGAATGGAATGGAATGAAATGAAATGAAATAAAATAAAATAAAGTAGACTTCACATGCCCAAGGAAGTCCAGAGACCTCCTTGTTTGGGGATCAGCTACAGCTCAGCCTGAAGACACTGCCTTTCATCACTTTACAGAAACCCAGGCTGCAAAACGCTCTCTTCACACAAATGGCCGAGGGACCCGCCCACTCCTGCTACCACCCTCATTATTAAAGCCACCGAGGCTGACAGTGCCAGCTCCAAATGCACAGCTCCGTATGCATACATGCCCTGTGATAAGCAAAGGAGCTCCTGTAAGCATTTCTCCTTGAAACTCAGCACCATGCGAGCTTTCTCAATAGAGGGCGCTAGAGAGACATTGCAAGAGGAAAAGGTTCTCCTGCAGGTTCTGGCTTTGGGCTGGGGAGTTACACCAAACTCCCATTCTTGGGATAAATCTCACCTAGTAATGATGTATAATCCTTTTTATATGTTGCTGAATTCAGTTTGCTACTATTTTGTTGAGGACTTTCACGTCTACATTCATAAGGGATATTAGTCTGTAGTTCTTTTCTTTGCCTGACTTTAGTATCAGGGTAACATTGACCTCAGAATGAGTTGGGAAGCATTCCCTCCTCTATTTTTAGAGTTTGTGAGGGACTGGTAATTGGTAATTCTTCTTCTTCAAATGTATGGTGAAGTCCTCTGGGCCTGAATTTTTCCTTGTGAAAAGATTTTTATTTACTAATTCAATTTACCTGTTATAGGTCTGTTCAGATTTTCTAGTTATTCCTGAGCCAGTTTTGTAATCTGTGTCTTTCTAAGAGTTTGTTCATTTCATGTAAGTTTTCTAATTCGTTAGCATAAAGTTATTCATAGTATTCCTTTATTATCCTTTTAATTTCTGTAAGACTGGTAGTAAACCACCTCTTTCATTCTTGATTTTGGTAACTTGAGTTTTCTTTTTCTTGGTCAATGAACGTAGCCAAAGTTTTGTCGATTTTATTTATCTTCTCAGAGAACCAACATATGGCCTCACTGATTTTCTCCATTTATTTCCATTTTCTATTTCATTGATTTCTGCTCCAATACTTATTATTTCCTTCCTTCTGCTTGCTTTGGGTTTCGTTTGCTTTCCTTTTTCCAGTTCACTGAGGTAGGAATTTGGATTATTGATTTGAAATCTTCCTTTTTTTTTTAAAAGATTTTTTTGATGTGGACCATTTTTAAAGTCTTTATTGAATTTGTTACAATATTGCTTCTGTTTATTATGTTTTGGTTTTTTGGCCACGACACATGTGGGATACTAGCTCCCCGACCAGGGATCAAACCCGCACCAGCCTATATTAAATTTTATTCTAAGCATTGCTTTAACTGCATCTCATAAAACTTGATATGCTCTGTTTTCATTTTCATTCAACTCAAAATATCTTCCAATTTCTCTATTTTTTCTTTTACCCATGGGTTATTTAGAAGTATGTTTTTGAATTTCCAAATACTTGTAGATTTCCCAAATTTCATGCTGTTATTAATTTCTAATTTAATTTCATGTGAACAAAGAAATATTTCATATTATTTCAGTCCCTTTAAATTTGCTGAGACTTGCTTTATGGCCTAGAATATGGCATCTCCTGGGGAACATTCATGTCTGCTTATGAAGAATATGTATTCTGCTATTGTTGAATGGACTATTCTGTAAACGTTAGTTAGGTCAAGTTAATATCGTCGTTCAAATCTTCTATATGCTCACCGATTTTCTGTCACATTGTTCTATCCAGCATTGACATTGTAGTATTTAAAACCCCCAACTATTATTTCTGAATTGTCTATTTCTCCCTTCAATTCTGTCAGCTTTTGCTTCATGAATTTGGGGATTATGTTGTTAAATGTGTGTGTTTATAACTGTTATATCTTCATGATGAATTAACGTTTTATCATTACAAACAGTTTCTCTTTTTTCCTAGTAATACTTCTTCCCTTAAAGTCTATTTTTTCTGATATTAGTGTAACCACTCCAGCTGTGGTTCTGCTTGCATCTTTTTACATCCTTTTACTTCCAACCTATTTATGACTTTGAATCTAAACTATGCCTCTTGTAGGTGGCATATAACTGGATCTTGTATTATCAAGTCAGATGATCTCTGCCTTTCTGGACTGTTTAATTGAGTCACATTTCTCCCTGTTGATTTGATTTCTCCCTGTCCATTTCAGCCTCCCTCCCTTGTGCTATTATTGTCATATTTATTACATCTTGGCATGTTAAAAGGCCAATAATAAAATTTTATAATTACTGTTTAATTCGATTGTCTTTTTAATTAGGATAAAAGCTAAAATACATATTTATACTCTTTGATAATAATAACCAATGTAATTACCTTTATGGGTGCTTTTTTTCTTTTCCTTTTTGCCACACCGCATGGCTTGTAGGAGCTTAGTTGCCTGACCAGGGATTGAACCTGGGCCCTAAGCAGTGACAGAGCAGAGTCTTAACCACTGGGCCACCAGGAATCTCCCATGCTTTGTATTCTTTCATGTGGATTAGTTACTATCTGGTGTGACTTCCTTTCAGCCTGAAGAATTTTCTTTGCTATTCCCTTTAAGGCAGTCTTCACTTATCTGAGACTACCTTTATTCTACCTTCTTTTTTTTTTTTTTTTTTGTGGTACGCGGGCCTCTCACTGTTGTGGTCCCTCCGTTGTGGAGCACAGGCTCCAGAGGCGCAGGCTCAGTGGCCATGGCTCACGGGCCCAGCTGCTCTGCGGCATGTGGGATCCTCCCGGACCGGGACACGAACCCGCGTCCCCTACATCGGCAGGCGGACTCTCAACCACTGCGCCACCAGGGAGGCCCCTACCTTCATTTTTGAAAGACAGTTTACTGGATATAGGATTTTTGGTTGACATTTTTTCTTTTGGAACTTTTCAAATGCCATTCCACTGCTTTCTGGCCTCCGTCGTTTCTGATGAAAAGACAGCTATCAATTTTATTGTGGTTCCCTTGTACATGATGAGTCTTTCTTTCTCTTGTTGCTTTCAAGATTTTCTCTTTGTGTTTGGCTTTCAGCCGTTTGGATTCTGATTCCCCCCCAGGGCTGGTGGTTGCCGTTGTTTGTTTGTTTGTTTGTTTAGAGGTTTGCCTGGATTGATTCTGTGGTGTCTGTTTCCCTCAGAGCAACCACTGGTGTATATGCTTCAGTTTTGTTTGTTTGTTTGTTTTTTCTTGCTCTTATTTTTAAGCCTGGCATAAAAATAATGGTCAGCCAGTGACTGGTCAGAGGTTAAGCCACATCTTGGGCCAATAAGGCATCACTCTTTTCCTACGGAGCTCGGTGTGGTTTGGAGAATTCATTCAGGTTCTAAAGTTTAAAAGTCTGTCCCAGCTGTTACTTTCTGCATTCACAAGGCCTCATGTTCCTCCAGGAGCTAGAGACTCACGCAGGCCCCTCTATTCTCTCCCAAATGTGTGTGCAGCCTTGTGCACCCCTTAGAGAACAGCAGCTTTTCTAGACCCTCTTTAGCTGTCTCATTACCTGGGTTTCCGTATTAAAGTTCTGGCTGGTCTGTTAGTCCATCATTTGTCCCAACCAGTATTGCAACCTCAGGCTAGGCCTTCCATGATGTTTGTCACTGAGATAACTACTGTTTTCCACAACATCTCTGGGCATGGAATTTTCCACACTCTGCTCCAAATAAAGTTGCCCTCTGCTGCCACTGCCAGTCCTCCTGGCAGGTCCCACCCACCCAGGTAACAACTTCCCCACCACAGAGCTGGGGGAGGTGGGGGACTTACTAAGACACTACAGATCTCCATTGTTCTGAGATTCCAAGATTTAGTAGGCTTTCTTGATTCAACACTTATCAATTTGTTGTCTGCTTTTGGTCAAATTCCAGAGTCTTTAAATGGTTGTCTTTGATGGTTCTGTCCAGCTTTATTTTTGCTGTTTGGGGAGATTTTTCTGAGATGCTCTGTTAGCCACTCCAGATGTCCTGCCCACTTGACGGAATGAATTTTTATGGGTAAAAAGCAGACCATCTACTCAGTGATATTACATGGAAGGAACTGAGGCCAAGAAAGGGAGTGGATTTTAGAATTTTTATGGGCAAAAAGCAGGCCAAGAAAGATGAAGTGCTTCGTCCAAGGTCCTAGGCAAGTCAGTGGCAGAGCTAGGACCAGAACTGGGGTCCTGGACCAAACCAACTCCTTCTGCCTTAAAGAGAAAATACGGTGGCAACTGAGCTCCCACTAGAGGGCGCTCCAAACTAGGCTTCTCATCTGGAAAGCAGAATCACTATCCTTGCTGTTTTTTCCTCGAATTACCTGCCAGTAGGAAGACAGCACAATTCATTGTGATGCTAGTCTAAGCCAAAAAAAAAAAAAAAAAAAAAAAATCAAAAGAAATCCACGTGCTGGTCATCAAGGATGCTGAACAAGCTTTGTGGTACAGGAATCAAAAAATTCTGGGGTTGAGGGGAGTGGATTTTAGAATTTTAAGTTTTCTTTTGTTCCTTAACACTCTCCACCTGCAATATTGCCACTGGATGGGGTAGTCAGGTGGAAACTTGAATGGGATTCACAACAGACTTAACAGTCACCTAGAGTTACCTGCTCTCTTGCTGAAGTTTCTCCCACTATAAGTTGATGGTATTGAGCTTTGAGTCTCAACCTTGGCTGCACATGGAAATCACCTGCTGAGCTTTTAAAAATTAAGATTGATGTGGAGTATGGCCCGGGAACCAGAATTTTAAGAGCTCCCCAGGTGACTCTAATGGCAGCCAAGATTGTAGCCATATTGGGAGCTTTTCCAAGGTCCCATCCTTCCTTTTTCCTTAACTTTAGCCTGTCCCCAGCATTTCATGAACCTTAGGGAACCTGTCTATATCCTCCAGGGCGAACTCCACTCCCAGCTGATGCTCCAATCTTCAAATCCAGATTAAGGTTTCCCTGCCCCTTTTTCTCTCTTTGGAATAAGATATGACTTTGAAATCCTCCATCCATCTGCTATTTAT